CCCAGGTTTTATTATATCAAATGAAAATATCCTAATATTGCAAAATATCGCCTATATTCTTGTCACTATTGAGAATATGGAAACTTCAATTCGAAAGAGCGGAAATGTATTGTCGTATCAATTGTAGTGAAGTGGCACTTACATCAACAAGTTTTTATGTCTTATTTAATCGCCGATATGAGTTCCTGTGTGAAGACTGTAAATAATCATTACAATATACATTGAAAGAAAAACTAGTAAAATTGTCAAAAAAGGGAAAGAAATGTCGGTCATCTTGTTTACCAGGCATGCAGCAACAACAGATCATGCAGCCGGTCGGACAGCCAGGTATGGTTGTGGTTACAACTGCGCCCCAGCAGTCACTTCCGGTCGTCGAATCCTTCCGCGACACGCCACAGAGAATGCAGTGCCCAAACTGTAGCCAGGACATCGTCACTGTGATGACCTTCGTACCAGGGGTCAACACTGTCGTCTGTTGCCTCATCATTGCTCTTCTTGGGTGAGTTACATTCATATTAAGTAGCTGATGTTTATCGTAAAGTTATTTCAGGGAAATTTTCATCCATTAGATATTTACTTATCTATTCATTCCTATTTTCTGTCAGTTCTGAGTTTGTTTTCAACTTAAATTACATATTGTGTGTATATCAAGGCCGTTATTCAATTCTATAATTAGTGTAGAATCCCTTTGGACCGATATTTATTGACGACCTAAGATTCTCTATTGGAAACAAATTCAATTCACAAAGAGACGTAAAAAAGTTTTTTTTCTTGGTGATGATCATGCATAAAATCTGGTTACATTTATAGATAGAAATATTGACTTGACAATTTTGTTTTGTTTACTTTTTCAGAGGTGTTCTGGGCTGTTTCATTATCCCATTCTTCATGGACAGTTGTAAGGATGTCATCCACAATTGTCCTAATTGCCGAACAAAGCTTGGACGCTATACCAAAATGTAACGAAGGATTTGAATGGCCAGCTCTACCGAACAGCTACGAATCATTCGTGTGTTTGTTTCAGACTGTGATAGACCATAATAGCAATATTATTACGTTGATAATTTACCATTGTGACGTCACCGCCAGGGATTCAAACCCGCCAATAAAACAGATTGATGAGTGGAAACAATATAAATTTCATTTGCCGAAGTCATGTGTCGTTGTTTCCGCATTAGCGTTTCTTGGCTAACGTTGTAATTCGCTTTGTTCTGTGTTGTTTAATGTTCAATATTTATTTATGTAATTTCTAATCGAGAACAAGTATATATACGTATTAATTATAAGAGTATACAATGCCCTACAAATTCCTAGCATAATTTAAAACCAGAATAAAGATCTCACTTTTGTTTTTATACTGTAATAACGTTGTAATTTGTTTTTCACACAGAAGACCTTGGAAATATTCTTCTAAATAAAAAAAAAAAAAAAAAAAGATATGACAGCGCTTATGTAAACAAAATGTAAACATTTTGTCATATTCAGGAGTTTATTTTTTTCTGGAAGAAATATCTGAGGTGTTCCGAATGATATATCTTTAAGGTATTCCTTGTCTTTTAACTTAACGTTTGCGTTGTTGGCCTTTTTGTTTCTAATTCTCGTGTCGTTGTATATGTAAGTGGTACACGTTTTCCTGCGTAGTATTATAAAACGGGCATTGTTTAAGTAAATACAAAGTTACAGCTTAATTTAACAGTAATAAATGGTCATGGAACTTGTTTTTATTGAAATCATTATCAATAAAAGTAACTGTTGTAATGAACGACTGGAGATTTTATTAAATTTCATATTCTGATGTCAGCAGATTCAGAAAAAGCAAGCATTGTCAATAAAATATTACACAATACAAATGGCCTATATTAAGAACTAATACATGTATCAATGTGATAGAAAATCGGGGTGTCGAGGGGGGGGGGGTGAAAAGCAAGAGCTGCACCACTGCGCCACTCGACCGCCCATCACTAATAATAAACAAATAAATAAAATCTGACCATTCCTTCATGTTTTATTGACATCAAAGGGATTAGACACAACTTCTTATTACTAGTTAGGCTCTATTCAAACTAACAAAACACAAGTATTATCTGTAGGTTCCTGAGAACTAGGTGTGACTACGTAACAGCTTTACCCATTTACCTGAAAGGAACGAGATCAGACCTGTAAGCAATTAAAGGATTATATAGCCGAGATATTATAGCTGTTCTGGGAATGACTCTTGAATATTGTTTGGTCCAAGACATATCTTACGTCATTGAGTACTACTGGGCGTTACAAACAATGCCCACGATCTCTAATGGTCACTGGGGATTATAATTGAATCGGGTACTCTCGGGCTTTATCAAATCATACTGAGCAAAATAAATCTGGGTCTGTTTCCGTACTTTTTCATAGTCGACTGTGAACGCTTTAAACACACTGATATTTCGGTTGATGCAATCACTTTAGATCCATGACTAATTTGACAGCGTCAAATCCGGAAACTCTTCATTGTAAATTGCTTTTATTCTAGTTCAACTGGAAACGCTTGTAATACATTCGACGGATTCAATCGTTCTTGCATCATAACTATTCTGCAAGATGGCGTGAGTTGCTTTTGATGTTACTCAAAAGCTGAAGATAACGGGTGACAACGAAACCTAGCCCAATTAATATATATATATAAACATTGAAATATAGCCTAAAAAATGTTATTGAAATCTAGATTTAAATTTCGCCTTACTTGTAATATGAATTATGGCAAAGGAACGTGGAGCGACCGTAATATTTTCTAGTATCACTGTTTATAATCCATTTTGTAGCTGAAAAGAAATAAAACTAACAGAGAGGTTCTTTGGGTTCCGAAGGCGTCCAAGTTTGTTTGTTTCTATCCGTCACTAAGTTAGCACAAAGCAAAACTGTGACTTTTTACTTCCGGGTCACAACTGTATGACCTGATATGCTGGATTCTTTTTGCTTGTTTTTCTTTGCAAGTGCTTTTCTTGATCAAGCAATTACAGTGATAAATATAGCACAATTTCTATATGACACACAAACTAAAGTCATATTTGGAAAAAAACAGAAGAAAGTGCGTTAAGATATACTTCACCATAATGGCAAAGGACACTTCTTACACTCAAAAGGGAAAGAGTTCTCCCACATGTTATCCCACACAGGCATAGATGGAAGGAAAGGACAACATTACAGGTATATGCTGCGACCACGTTTCAAACAAAATGTTCACACATTCCCTATTTTCCGTTTATGAAGCTATATAAAGTACGCAGCACTTTAAAAAAATCAAAAGAAAATGGTACGTCTGTACACTGTACCTCATCCCCTCGAAAGGCGTATGTGGGGGATAATAGATTGGAGTCCGTCCGTCCTTCCTTCCGGAGAGCTCTTCCGGGCTCCAAATTGAAGCCATTCAAACTTAACATTATCTATATAAGGCTAGTGCACTGCTTGTGCGTCTTGCTATTGCAAAGATCTCATTCTTGTTGTCGAAAAACAAAGAGAATCTGATGAATACATTTAGTCTTACTGTAAAGTTGGTAAGTATATTATATATAACACACGACTGACGAAAGGAGATAAGTTTTGACACGTGCCCTATCGGGACTCGAACTCTGGATCGCCTAGCTAACCACACCACCCAGACATCCCCCAAACGTGGGTGTTTGGAAGGCGCGATGACAAGCAACTAGAAATTCTTGACTTGATCATAGCAGCAAATTGTCTATTATGTGAAATGAACTTAGACAGGAAATCCGTATTTGAAACCTTCGGATCAACAGAAGTTTCTCCTGTTCTGATGAGGCATATATATACATTGTAAAGTTTTGACTTCATATTTCTAAATTTGAAGCATCCGGACTAAATGTACAATGTTTCTCATTCTAGATTAGTCAGACTGTAAGGACTCAATGTTTTAAATATATAACAACCCATCACATGCACCTCGGAATGAAGGTGATAATTTGTCATATTCTTATTGCTGTATTTCCCGAATACAAAGGTTTTAGAATTTGTGTACTCTGTTAAGAAAATAAGTGATTTTGTTGATTATTAGGTATTTCTCTAAATATTCAATTTCTGAGAAAACAATATAAATATATGAAAAAGAATAATCCAGTTACCTGTAAGAATTAAGGACTTCAGTCAAAATGGAGTTATATCAACCTCACATATTAACCTTAATATAATAACCATGTTGACCTCATTATAGGTTTTTAACTGTTAGATAAGTGAAATGATTCGCGCATGAATTGCGCCATGTTTCCGACCTAAGTAGCTAAAATGCCTACTTAACACTGTCCACATCTAATTGTTTATGTACGAGTCAATACAGAAACTTTATAGTTAAACATGATATAAACACGGGGATTAGATTTCACGTAGAAATTTATAAGATATTTAAGGCGTTGGCTAAATGCCTAACCTACTTCTGCTTAAATATATTTTTATCTTGAATATTTTGAATTAGCTCTGGTCAAAAACTAGTAACATATTGTCTACAGTTGCCAAACAACTTCGACAAATATTTATCCCCAAGCCATTTTAAAGTGTGTATGCTTGGACACAATGCCAGTGGAACAATACAATAACTACAAACGGCACAACTGGAAAGTACGATGGCCTTAGATGGACATTGCAGGTCAAAAATGAAATATTCTCATCACATTCGGACAAATATTATTGCTGGCCAATGAACTATTTTTACGTGCGAATGAAATGAATATTACTATGTGCGGACGCAATATCATTGCGTTCGAACGAGATAGTCGGGCGTTCGAACTAGATAGTCGGGCGTTCGATCGAACAAATTTCCTGGTGCCATGTCCTAGTCTCCATAGTAAGGTCAGTAGTGACCACAGCTTTAAAGAGTCTATGTAATAGCCATTGGTCAAGCTTGGACATATCATTGAAGAACACTTAAACAGTCGACGTAAAACTCTCATAAGAGCTGCGGATTTTCGGACAATCGAGTTGACCGACGTGACATCAAGAAGTTAAATTTGACAATGGCACAGACACAACCCTACCCTGGCATGCAGCAACAGGTTGGATATAACCCAGGTATCGTTTTTGTTAATAAATTTGATATTCACTAATAATTTTCATACTTTCAGAAACTCTACGCTTGTTAAGTAAATTATAAATAGAGCCAATGTAGTAAAATTCTGAAGGAAAATATGTATATCTCATTGAATGTATACAATCTAGTAAGTTATATCGACGGTATAGTCAAATATCGGTACTGGACCTTCTATATATAGAATCTAGTAAGTTATATCGACGGTATAGTCAAATATTGATACTGGATCTTCTATATATTGAATCTAGTAAGTAATATCGACGGTATGGGCAAATATCGGTACTGGATCTTCTATATATATAATCTAGTAAGTAATATCGACGGTATGGGCAAATATTGATACTGGATCTTCTATATATATAATCTAGTAAGTTATATCGACGGTATGGTCCAATATTGGTACTGGATCTTCTATATATATAATCTAGTAAGTTATATCGACGGTATGGGCAAATATTGATACTGGATCTTCTAAATATAGAATCTAGTAAGTTATATCGACGGTATAGTCAAATATTGATACTGGATCTTCTAAATATAGAATCTAGTAAGTAATATCGACGGTATAGTCAAATATTGATACTGGACCTTCTATATATATAATCTAGTAAGTTATATCGACGGTATAGTCAAATATTGATACTGGATCTTCTAAATATAAAATCTAGTAAGTAATATCGACGGTATAGTCAAATATTGATACTGGACCTTCTATATATATAATCTAGTAAGTTATATCGACGGTATAGTGAAATATTGATACTGGATCTTCTAAATATAGAATCTAGTAAGTAATATCGACGGTATAGTCAAATATTGATACTGGACCTTCTATATATATAATCTAGTAAGTTATATCGACGGTATAGTGAAATATTGATACTGGACCTTCTATATATATAATCTAGTAAGTTATATCGACGGTATAGTGAAATATTGATACTGGATCTTCTAAATATAGAATCTAGTAAGTTATATCGACGGTATGGGCAAATATCGGTACTGGACCTTCTATATATATAATCTAGTAAGTAATATCGACGGTATAGTCAAATATTGATACTGGATCTTCTAAATATAGAATCTAGTAAGATATATCGACGGTATTGTCAAATATTGATACTGGATCTGCTATATAGATTCTAGAAAGTAATATCGACGGTATCGTTAAATATTGATACTGGATATTCTATATATAGAATCTAGTAAGTAATATCGACGGTATGGTTAAATATTGATACTGGATCTTCTATATATAGAATCTAGTAAGATGTAGGGAGAAAGAATAAAGTTTCAGTAACAATTATAACAAGAATTTGTGTAGATATGATAAACAGAATCACTAATCCGGATTATGTCGAAATCTTATCAGGAAATTATTTGTTTGAAATTAATCCTAATCGCATGAAAACAGAATCTCTGGTAACCAGAACATATAGGCCCACGGCAAAAAATCGACCTATAAGAAAATTTCATTTCAGGTTCACGACCAGTAAAATTTCCAAAATAGCATTTCTGTCCATAACTGAAAAAAAATCAATATTTTTCAGTGTTGTTTGGACGCTATGTTACCTTCTGATCGATTTTAGACTACGTGTGTTAAATCCAATATCAATTGCGAAACCATTAGACCTCGGCGAAAGTAGATAATATGTTGTTACGTTACCCGAATGTTATGTCCAACAATGGCGAGTTGCCGGCGTCAACAATACATCAAAGGTGTAGACACTGTAATTTAATTGGTCCTGGACTAAATGATTGTGACATTACTGAAAGAGAAATTCGCTCAGTAAAGTGTCTGGGATAAGAGGTTTTTGCAGTGTTATTGGTCGGTTAAGGGTAGGGTTAACGGAATAGCGAATCAGTTTCATACCTACGATGTATACAAATGCTGTTTTATTTTTTTCGTTGGTCCAGTGCAAAATGTTATTTATTATTTAAAAGAAATTATGAAATAGCATAAAGTTTAATCAATTGATCTTATTTTCAAATTATCTATTTTCCCGTCATGTTGTTCTTTTTTCCTATTTGTGGCGAGTTGTCTCTCAGAGAGCTGAGAAACGACTGGTCTCTCAGGTCATGTTTGTGTCATTGGACAAAACGCCAAGCTAAAAATACTCTGCAAAGTATATTACGGGCCGCCTGTATGCTATTCAGCAAGGTAGGCGCCAGCTCCCACAAAGAAACTCCGCCTCAAAATGATCCTGGTTGTTCACGGGGCATCCTCTTATGCATGATAATCTATTTTTACGTCTTTGAGCTTACTAGAGGCCCATTTTTGCCTACTAAACAACATGAATATTAATGATTTCCATGATAGCGTGCTTATAAACCATTCAACCGTATCACTATCATTGCGCGATAAAGTAAGAAAAATTTTTTTTTTAAAAATCTGACTTACAAGGAAACTAACTCAAAAAACGCAGTCAACCACGTTTATTTTGTTTTAGGTTGTATCCTATGTCACGTGTCTAATTATAAACGAAGAGAACTACAAGTACATCAATCTTAACAACTACAGCTATTGCAATCGTCAGCGTGGCGACAAAGTTTGATTTTTTTCTGATTCCATCTCCTTATGGAACGTAGAGTATTTTGTCAGGGTGAAGTAAGGCTGTAGCTGATAGTAAACTTATTCTATTGTGGACTTTGGCATCGCTGTTGATTATTTACATCAAAACACGAAAATAAACATAAAACATGTGTTCAAATTAAAACCACTTAGCAAATTATATAGATAAACAAAATAAATAACAACAATATGATGTTTTGTTTTAGATACACTTATACAGAACTGGGTTATTTGATATCGATTACCGTATTGTCGGTATCTTTGTATCGCGCGCTAGTCAAGTGTAACTTATGATCCCTAACAAGTACGTTAAGTATGATAGACCAAAACAAAATATGAAAAAAGTTGGGATGTCAAAAAAGATGACCCGAGAAACTCTAGCTGGACTTCGAAAACTTTCTGTAGACATGAACTGTTGAAATCGTTTTTTAAATCCAATGACGTCACGTTTTTTGTCCCAATCTACAGCTCGGTAAAGTTTCTCGCACGCGTCGTATAAAACAGCATGCGATTTCAATCAAATAGTCCAAGTTAAATGTTATGGGAAAAAAGACTGCTATCTGCCATATTTTTCAAGGCATGCAGCAAAAACAGATAGTGCAGCCGGTCGGACAGCCAGGTATGATGGTGGTGACAACTGCGCCCCAGCAGTCACTTCCGATCGTCAAATCCTTCCGCGACACGCCACAGAGAATGCAGTGCCCAAACTGTAGCCAGGACATCGTCACTGTGATGACCTTCGTACCAGGGGTTAACACGGTCGTCTGTTGCCTCATCATTGCTCTTCTTGGGTGAGTTTATATTAATTGCACAACTTAGCTTTATCGTGTATCAAAGTTATACGTTATACAACTATGAATGACATCACATTTTACCGCGCAATATATAGTTATCCTAATGTAAAAAATACTTCGATCAATATACATAAAAATAATGCAAAAATTAAAAAGATGAAAAGATAACATCGAAAAAAGCAAATCAAAACAAAACAAAACGTATACAAATTCTGTGACGTCACTAGGTAGTTTGTTTTTAAAACATGATTTAGACTTGGAACTTTATTGAAATCTACAAAAAGGCTTGTTGCTCCTGGTATAGATACACAATGTTTGAGCTAGACAAGACATCTCATTTTGTTTTGTTTACTTTTTCAGGGGTGTTCTGGGCTGTTTCATTATCCCATTCTTCATGGACAGTTGTAAGGATGTCATCCACAATTGTCCTAATTGCCGAACAAAGCTTGGACGCTATACCAAAATGTAACGAAGGATTTGAATGGCCAACTCTACCGGCTTCCACGAATTATTCGTGTTTGTTCCATCTGTGATAAAATACTATAACAATTTCCGTCATAAACCTATTTTAATTTATTAACATTTCAAGGATGGGGATGGTTGTGTCGGTTGGCACATGAAAGCTGACACTGTTTCGTCAACTATATTTCCTTGTCCGAATTTCTTAAATGTAATTTCAAAGCATAATATAAAATCCAGAAAAGATATTTCACTGTTAACAACATCGAAATTTGCGTCCTGAGTTTTGTCTGTCTGTCTGTCGGCCGGTCGGTTGGGTGGCCGGATAATTGGTTGGTGTGTGTCCTAATCAGAGCCAGATTGTTATGAAGGCAGTGTCAATAGGTGATGGACAAACAAACCCTTAACACTAATTGTGGGCGGACGCTCTACTCAAACAACAAAAGTTTTACCAAGATAGGCTACTGCGTGTAAACAAAAGAGAGCTCAAGTTTATTGCGAATGATCTTTTCACATTATATTCTGATTAATTTACATACATTGAAAACAGCAATTGTCACGAGAGCAGTAAAAGTGTCACAGTCTTGACAAATCGGTGGAGTTTATATGTAAACCATTGTTACAGATCTATCCAGCCTTCGAGATCTCAATTCAGTACTTAAACATGTAAACTAAAATAAGTATTCAAAATTTCTCTGTTTCGCATGAGTGCACAAAGTTGTTTGCATTATTTTACGTTATTTTACCCCAGGTGTTGCCACTCTCGGAGAAAATGTAAATAACATTTCAAAACAAAGCACCTTTATCTTATGTCAGATGTCGTCATAACAAACAACGCGTCGCTTAATGGAAAAGCACTACGCACCAAAAAACGTGACAGGTCCGGATCTATACCGGCTGGGTTTACCTGTATACGGCTATATACGTGACAGGTCCGGATCTGTACCGGCTGGGTTTACCTGTATACGGCTATATACGTGACAGGTCCGGATCTATACCGGCTGGGTTTACCTGTATACGGCTATATACGTGACAGGTCCGGATCTGTACCGGCTGGGTTTACCTGTATACGGCTATATACGTGACAGGTCCGGATCTATACCGGCTGGGTTTACCTGTATACGGCTATATACGTGACAGGTCCGGATCTGTACCGGCTGTGTTTACCTGTATACGTCTGTACCGGCTGGGTTTACCTGTATACGGCTATATACGTGACAGGTCCGGATCAACACCGGCTGGGTTTACCTGTATACGGCTATATACGTGACAGGTCCGGATTCGTTCCAGCTGGGCCGCCCGTCTAACAAACACAACACGTAAAATTTACCTGAGCATACATTTTTTTTGTTTACAAAAAGAATGAAAAATGACAGTAATACAGAAGTAATGAAAATACAATTTACTATCTGACGGCACGAGAATTTAAACGATTCATTGCCGTGACATAAAGAGACGTCCATTTAATGTTTCCATATATAATGTGTGTCCGTCCACTAAGGCTGGTCACGTGTGGCTCTTTGTAAACAAAACACTGAAAATTACGAGTGTATCTAACTATTCAGTGTGTATCTGATATATCTACAAGTGTCCATTTCTAAATTTATATCAACCATGACAGAATCGTACATCGTCTGATTTTCCTATCGTGCATACATTGTGCGCACATTGCACATCGTGTAACGTTGTGCGATCCCACAATGGTATTTTGATAAGAGTTTACAACATTTTACAAATCTGCCAACTCAGAAATCTTGAAATCAACAACAGAAGCTAACTAGTATAACTTGGAGCTGTTCGTCTGCTGCCTTCGAACATAGTGTCCCACGAATATCGATGACCTAGAACAAGGATTAGAGAAAAAGACAAGCGAATACAATTTTTCAAAAGGAATTAAAATTCATTACACCCAAGTAAGTGATTATTAAACTGCATTATACAGCTGTTTTATCCTGGGACTTGTCTGTGACGCTACAGGTCAAAACTTAGAAGCGAGTGAAGGAATTCAAAACTGGCCGAAAGAAATGTTTAAATCTAGATCTCGGTGTGAGATATTGTAATATTTAGAATTCAATAATGGATTATTTCAAGAGAATGTAAAGTAGTCGAGTACGCGTGTATATTCTGAAAAGTGCAACTATTTAAATTAATTTAAACATTACATGTATGTTACGACAAACCACGGGATCTGACGTCCACCAGCGTCGGTACTCCCACAGGATTGTTATAAAAACACACATGCGACTATCAAATTTTAACACCAATTTAGAATAAGAAACAACAGAGCCAAATTATCATTAAATTGCACACCACAACGTTCTTGTATTTTATAAGAAAACCGATCTTCAAATTATCATTAAAACAGAATACAAAACAATATATTCGAACAGAAGTATGTTATATAGGCATGTTATATGTCAGACATCTGGTTACATAATTCAACAGGATAATATCTCGAAGTAAAGATGGATATGAAGATAAAAGAAACGAATTTTAATTAACATAAGAAGTAAGTTTTGATTAAGTTTTTTTTAAGAGATAAGATATTTTTATATCAGGATAAGAGATTTTTTACTAAGATAAGAGATTTTTTTATTAAGATAAGAGATTTTTTATTATGATAGGAGATGATTTTTTATTATGATAGGAGATGAACTTTACATTAAGATGAATTATGTGTAATTTGATTTTACATTTCATTGTATCAATGTGTTACGTTTTGATGACACGGATTGATAGACATACTATTACTTAGAACATAAGATTGTTAAGAGAAATTGACATCTCCACACGGTAAGGTATTAGGATTTTCTCTCCAACCAGAATGACTGCCGAACTTATAATCAAGTTTTGAGAAACGATGTATTGTCTTTTTGAAATAGATTACTCCCACAATTTCATTAGGTCTTATGTTGACTGTCATGTTTGATGTAAGATTATCCCTGCTACATTTTTACATAGATCATTTTACGAATTGTTGGTATCCCTTTTGTACATTATGTATAGGTTTGCCAGTGCTACGCAGAATAGAACAAACTTATACACAGCTGAAGTGGCATATCAACTAATAACATCTTGATTAATATGTTATCGAATTCTTATAGATATTAAATATATACTTAACCTACTTTACTCGAGACCATTTACCAGTGCGTGAAGTACTTAGAGAAGGTAACCTTACCGATTAAGTTTACAGATCAGCCACGGTTTGTTGTCAAACTGCTTAGCAATAACTATAATTGACAATTGATCGTACTACCATCGACCGTACAAATATACGGCAGTCCAGGATAAAGCCTTATGATGATGGGTAGGTCAGTGGTACTGGTCAATGGTACTGGTCAGTGGTACTGGTAAGTGGTACTGGTTAGTGGTACTGGTAAGTGGTACTGGTTAGTGGTGCTGGTCAATGGTACTGATCAATGGTACTGGTCAGTGGTACTGGTCAATGGTACTGGTCAATGGTACCGGTCAGTGGTACTGGTCAATGGTACTGGTCAGTGGTACTGGTCAGTGGTACTGGTCAGTGGTACTGGTCGGTGGTACTGGTCGGTGGTACTGGTCAATGGTACCGGTCAATGGTACTGGTCTGTGGTACTGGTCAATGGTACTGGTCAGTGGTACTGGTAAGTGGTACTGGTCAGCGGTACTGGTCAATGGTACTGGTCAGCGGTACTGGTCAGCGGTACTGGTCAATGGTACTGGTCAATGGTACTGGTCAATGGTACTGGTCAGTGGTACTGGTTAGTGGTACTGGTCAACGGTACTGGTCAGTGGTACTGGTCAGTGGTACTGATTAGTGGTACTGGTCAGTGGTACTGGTCAATGGTACTGGTCAGTGGTACTGGTCAGTGGTACCGGTCAGTGGTACTGGTCAATGGCACAGGTCAGTGGTACTGGTCAGTGGTACTGGTCAGTGGTACCGGTCAATGGTACCGGTCAGTGGTACTGGTCATTGGTACTGGTCGGTGGTACTGGTCAGTGGTACTGGTCATTGGTACTGGTCGGTGGTACTGATCAGTGGCAACTGACCTGGTCAGTTTTACTGGTCAATTGCACTGGTCAGTGGTACTGGTCAATGGTACTGGTCAATGGTACTGGTCAGTGGTACTGGTCAATGGTACTGGTCAATGGTACTGGTTAGTGGTACTTGTCAATGGTACTGGTCAATGATACTGGTCAATGGCACAGGTCAATGGTACTAGTCAGTGGTACTGGTCAATGGTACTGGTCAGTGGTACTGGTCAATGGTACTGGTCGGTGGTACCGGTCAGTAATACTGGTCAGTGGTACTGATCAGTGGTACTGGTCAATGGTACTGGTCAATGGTACTGGTCAGTGATACTGGTCAGTGGTACCGGTCAGTGGTACCGGTCAGTGGTACTGGTCAATGGCACAGGTCAGTGGTACTGGTCAGTGGTACTGGTCATTGGTACTGGTCGGTGGTACTGGTCAGTGGTACTGGTCATTGGTACTGGTCGGTGGTACTGATCAGTGGCAACTGACCTGGTCAGTTTTACTGGTCAATTGCACTGGTCAGTGGTACTGGTCAATGGTACTGGTCAATGGTACTGGTCAGTGGTACTGGTCAATGGTACTGGTCAATGGTACTGGTTAGTGGTACTTGTCAATGGTACTGGTCAATGATACTGGTCAATGGCACAGGTCAATGGTACTGGTCAGTGGTACTGGTCAGTGGTACTGGTCAGTGGTACTGGTCAATGGTACTGGTCGGTGGTACCGGTCAGTAATACTGGTCAGTGGTACTGATCAGTGGTACTGGTCAATGGTACTGGTCAATGGTACTGGTCAGTGGTACTGGTCAGTGGTACCGGTCAGTGGTACCGGTCAGTGGTACTGGTCAATGGCACAGGTCAGTGGTACTGGTCAGTGGTACCGGTCAATGGTACCGGTCAGTGGTACTGGTCATTGGTACTGGTCGGTGGTACTGGTCAGTGGTACTGGTCAATGGTACTGGTCAATGGTACTGGTTAGTGGTACTTGTCACCT